TTTTTGATTTGCTTAAATTGGTTTGAAATTTTGAAGAAAAAACGTGCATCATACAATTTCATAAATGAAAACTGTGTTTTGCGTTTTTCTGTAGAAAAATTACAACTTTGAGGTTAAAATTTTTAGTCCTCTTTTTGATTGCAATTTTGCTTCTGTGCTCAAAAAAAATTTTCAGGAAAAAAAATTTTGGATGCAAATTTGAAAATTGGTGTCTATAAAGTAGTCCAGGTTTTTTCAGAGTTTTCAGCCCAAAAACTGAGTTTTTCGCCCAAATGCATGTGTTTTTTCTAGAAACACAATTATTTTTTTTTGTTTTTGTTTTAATATGCTAAGATAAACGAAAAAAAAAAAGTTCATCTGCGTTCTTTTTTTTTACCAAAGTAGCGGGTTACGGATGAAAGTCAAATTTCATAACAATTGGTTTTTGTATTTTGGTAAAAAAATGGGAAAAATGTTAATTATACAATTTCATAGTTTGGAAAAATTGCTCATCATACAGGTTCATAGTTCAAAAAACTGTTGTGGCTATTTTCATAACTCTCTTGTATTAAAAATTGGGGCAAAAAAATTGTTATCTAATTCCAGAATGTGGCAAAAAGAGATTTTTATAAAAAGTCATAGTATGGAAAAAAAAATATTTTGCTCTTTTTATAAAAATTCTCAGTCTATGAATTTGCATGAAACTGTATGATAAGCAGTTATTTGATAGTGTGAAGTAGTATGATAGGCAATTTGTGTCAACCAGGGCCAATTGTCAATTGAATATCGAAAAATGCCAATTGAATATCGCCGAAAGCAATTAAATTGTAATCTACTTTGAATGCTTGCTGGAAACTTTGCCTTTTTATCCATGCGCTGCTTTATTTTACCCGGGTTGCGATAGGTCGACTAAATCAAGGGTCAGACATGACCACTCACATCAGGGCGCATCCATATTGGTTCTGCCTACTCTTGATTTTTTGCAAACTCTTTGCAAAATATTTGACAACTTTCTCTTTGATTGATCCACCCGATTAGCATTTCTGAATAGCCGAAAATCTTTTGTGCTCAGATAGCTGAGTTGTGACAAAAAAAGAGTTGAAACGGAAAATGACCGTCGATTAAAACTTTTCAATTGAAAGTATCTCAAATCAATGTTGCTTTTCTAAAAGTGTTTGTGTTTCCCCTACAAAGGCAAGTAGTATTGTATCGTGTCCCGGATCCTAAGGGGGGTGCTTCCTAAGGGGGGTCCTCACGTAAAGCAAAATCCTAGGAAAGGGGTCCTTAAATTTTTGGAGGACCCTCATCCTAGGATTTTGTGAACGAAACAAATTTTCCACGCAAAAAGCAGAAGACCCCCTACTTAAGATCTTGCCAAGTTTGGCTTAACAAGAAGGAACAAGATACAAAATTCTCTCTAATTCCAAAATTGGGGGTCCTAATTATTGGTCCTGGCTAATTATATGAATCATATTAATTGTTATATTTGTTTCGGCCATATGAACTTTCGACCTAGTTGAAAATTGTTAGTGAACGGGGAATTGACTTTTATGATACTTAATAAAAATTCGCCGGCGATTTTGGCAATGTAGCTTAACTGTTGGCTGCAGTAAACTAATTCCTTAACTTGATCTATATTTTATGGTGAAAAGGCAGTAGATTGAAATAACTCTCCAAAGGCGGCGGCCATTTCAGGGCACAATATACCAAATGATAAATTTGTCAAATTTTGAAATAAGAAAAATGAAATTTGAGGGGACCTGGTGTACTGATGATATTGATAATGAAAACTTTCAATTAAGAGTGTTTTCAACCGCAGAAAAAAAACTCATTTTTCAAAATTTGTAATGAACGCTACGTCGTCTTCCTCGAAAGGGCAAAGGAAATTTCAAAAAAAGAATACGAGTTAATTTTCAAAAAACAATTTTATTTGAGTGAGCCTCAACAAATCTCTTGGTGCATTTCTACAAAACAAAAGTATGGTACTGTGAGCAATTTGCATTTTGCTGATTATGAAAACGTATTCGACTATTCGTTTGACTTTATCTCAATATGGGTTGATGAAGACTTGGAGAGAAAAATCCGTCTATGTTTCTGATACCAGACATAAAACCAGGAATTAAAATTCTTCTTGCTTTGAGAAAAAACAACACGTTGGGTCCCTCTAATACACCAACATGGGCCTTACATGACGCGGCAAATGAAATAGCAAGGCCCATGTTGGCGTTTTAGAGGGACCCAACGTATTGTTTTTTTCTCGAAGCAAGAAAAATTTTAATGCCTGGTTTTATGTCTGGTGTTAAACCTAAAAGAGAATATTCCCGCTGCTAATGAAATGTTTTGGGTTTACAATAGTTGGGTGAATTAGGTTAAATTTAAAACTCGCCTGCTTACCGATTTTGAAATTGAGGAAATTTACTAATTGTTGTACATCAGTTAAAACATTACCCATTTTAATCTATCTGAAGGGGCTGATTCAATTATTTGCTTGTAAACATTTTTGTATTCCTTACACATTATAGTTCTGTGAATTTGTTGAAACTATTTGTCATCAAAAAATGTCCAACTTTCATATTTAAAATGTAGGTGATTTTTAAATCATATGGTGTAGCTACTGAAAAGACCGGTTTTTTGTTTTTTATCAGGACTTTTATAATCGGAGCATGTTTCAAAATAATTTCATGAAAAATTTCTTCAAAAATAGTCAACATAATGTCAGCATCAGTTTGCATTTAAAGGTTTGACCAATCTGATGCTCTTACTGATTTTCTGAACTCATCTGTTGAATAGTGTTTACATCGAGAATGTGTTTTTCTCTTTTCATCGAGAATGTGTTTATTATCACACGATCTTAATTTTAAGCTGAATTGCATAATTTTTAGTAATGCAAGATGATGACTTGTTATAGGAAAATCAAACACATAGGTATCTACTGTTTTTAAACTGGTATCATGAATAATAATATCAAGGACTGAATTACCAGCAGGTCGCGTTGGTGTAAAAATGTTGCTTATTGCTAGACCAGGAGGACATTGTATCGTATTCATGTTTTTTTATCTCTATTCGGATAATTCAAATTAGTCACCCATCAGACTTAATTTTTTTTGCCTATGGCTGCTTTATCAATCAATGCCTTTGCAAATTGTTCAAGAAAGTCAGTACATAGATTTTTCATACAACAGTAACATATTTTTTTTACCAAAACTGTTTGACTTCGATTAACTTGAATACCAATTCACAAAATTTCAAATTGAGAACTAAGAGTGTTAAAGTCAGGTTTCAACCGTGCTTTTATTTTTCTGGCACAATTGCTAGCAGTCTTCTCCGTTTTTTGTTTGGGTCATCCGAGACCCTATCACAACGGAAAGTCTGAAAAGTTTTTTTTTGGTTGTACCTGTAAAAGTTGTACGTGTCAGAGACTCATTTAGATAAGAATCACGTTTCGTGAAAAGAAAAAGCACAAGTGTTGCATTAGTCGTTTATCTGTCTAATTATCTGGAGGCGTTTTTCATTGAGACTTGGACTATTTACTTGAAAGAATTTTAAAATTGATTGTAAAGTGAGGCCTTTTTGAAATTATTGCCGTATGAAAGCATTAGACCTGGGCTAAGTCAGACATCTCTGTACAAATTTAATTAATTTGTTACTATAAATAGAGAAGAAAAAAGAAAGGTATCTTCAAGCTAAAATTTCTGACCGTTTCTAAAATTCTTCTTGCATTGAGAAAAATTTTTATTATCTTCATGATCATTATGACTGGCTAACAATGCCGTGGGAGTAGTTTAAACCACTCCGTCCTCAAAAAGTACGCGGATTTTGCGCATTTGCTCATAAGAGAAATTGGTCTATTGACCGTTTACAGCATCTAAGCAAACAAAAAACTACATTTGAAAATTAATCAGGACTTGTACAATTGTGTGATTCCAAGTTAAAGGGTTGGAAAGGGGGCTGCTGTTATTTGTGCTGTTTTCACTGCACCTTACGCTGGCTCTTAGTTTTGTCACTAAAATGCGATTGGGTGATACCATGAAAAGTATTCAATAAATGTCCCAATAATGCTTTCCTAAAGTATGGAATACCTATTTTATTTTTCAAAATCAAAATATCATAATATTTTTCATAATAATGCGCAATTTTCAAACAAAAAGTGGGTTTGTCTGTGATTAGCCCACTTAATTTGAGCACCTGTACTGTATCATTGTTCTTGAATTTAACACCCAGCAAATTATTCAATTCATCGTTTGTTTTGTTTTTTATATTTTTTTCGGGTGCTTTTTTGAAAGGTATTAATTCGTAAAATACGAGGAAATCAGGTTCAAACAGAACCAAACACTTATCTACAAGAGTAGTAAACGCATCAGATATTTCCACTGCAGACTTGTTATGATTAATCACCTTATTTGCACCGTCTGGCAAAAATACAGTTTTCAGTTTTTTTGAGCTGTACTCATTTGAAATTTTGTTTGTGTACACTAACTAATGAGAAAAATTGAGCCACTAATTCTACAGCTACTCATAAAGTTTTAAATAATTTTAAATCATCAGTGAAAATTCAATGTGTTCAAGAAAATGCAAGTCTCAAATTTTGCATTACAAAACTTTGATCAAAGAAAAAATTTCATAAATTATAAATAGGTTTATAGAGACACCCCTTGATTTAGTGTTTTAGAGATTTGCCTTCCCAATAGAAAGTTTAAATCATTGAAGGTTTGCAGAGTGCGAACTTACTTTTTGATTTTTGATTTATTGAAATGGAAATCAATAAGGTAAAATGGAGCAATCGGAGTTCATTCAAAGCTACTCCCGCCTTTTTGTTGAAATATCTTCTTCTTTTAATTTTTCTAATTTTCCTTGCTCAACTGATATTACACAACTTTTTAACATCAATTTTAATTAAGAATTTGAATTTTGTTTTCTGTTAGTTTTGAAGAATAAAATGAACCATTACAGCTAAATTATACTATTTTTCTGTTTCTTATTGTTCTCAAGTTTACGGCTTGAATATTCAGAACAATTTTCAGGGCCGAGGTGCTGCAAGAGACGTTTCTGGTGGAACGACCTTGGTCGATTTGGGATTTGAGTCTAACCAACGAAGAATATTTCGTGGGTTTGATACAGGCGCAAAACACAGGTTTTTATTCTCTTCAAACTGAGCAATTTCTACGGAATAACTTTGAAGATTAGTATGGAATTGTATGGCAAGTTGTTTTTTCTAATTATGACTGAAGCAACAGAAGACATTTAGAAATGCAACCCGTTCGTTGAAAAAAATATTTGTTTTTGCGATTTTTTGTTTGGGCGATCAGTGTCTCAAGGAAAGCAAGTTACCAGGGTTGGTAATGGACATTTGCTTCTAAATACCAAAAAATGATGGCTCTGCAACACCTAAATACCAAAATCTTCTCTGCAACACCTTAATAATGTCCGCAATAGCATTTTTTTTTCAATTAACACAGAAAAAGCCGGCTTCAAATGCATCAGTTTTAGTAATTTTTTTTTTAATCTGAAAGAGTTTTTGAGTTTTAATATGGTGAGTTTTGGTGTTACACATTTGTTTTGAAATCTAGCTCATGATTTCATATCATAACATTCAAATAATTTTTGGTGGAAAAAGCATTCTTGAGTTACCTAATAAGCTATTTCTCGCCCCTCCCCCCTCCTCCCCCTTAACGCGTGAATGGGCTTACAATAGTGACAATAGGCCATCAAAAACAACATGACCAACCCTCTCGATAAAAAACAGCCAACATACCTAAATAATGCGAGCTCATCTTTTAAATCGAATTATTTGTTCGAAGACACCTTTCGATTGCCAGCTAGCTGGCTTTTTTGCTTAATTTCTATGTCATTAAATGACTACGCATATTTTTTTAACTAATTTTTCTGCTGGTATGAGTACTAATTAGCTTCTCTGCTCCCTTCGTGAAAACAATTTTTTCATAATTATATTTTGAAGTTTATTTCATTTCTTTTCAGTTTTGAACAGTTGCACGAGTGGAGGTGATAGTGGTTCTCCCCTCTACCTAGTCAGCAAAGACGGATGTGGTCACGCGCAGTGTCTTTACGGTGTCACAACTCACAGAGTATTTAAACTCAAGAATCGAAAAGAAGACCCAACCTATTTGGGCAATATGTTTTTCATCAGTGTGCCAAAGTTCTATAAATGGATCGCTAAAACAGTCAATGATAATTATAGGACCTAAGAATTGAAGCTGTTTTTTCCATGTGGTGTGATACAATGACATTTCCAGTCTTTCGGAGCTGTTTTCAATATATCGGTTGGGCTCTGTATGTCATTTGATCTCATGTTAAAATCAAATGTCATTCAAATCTATCATTTGTTATTAGTTTCAAAGTAAAATCCAAATTTTTTGATGTATGATCAGAAAATGGAGGCAAAATTATGCGATAAATCAATTCGTTCCAAGTTGTACAATAATCCAGTAATATAGAAAACTTATTATTGAAAGAGCTCCAACTTGAGCCAGCGTAGAAAGTTGTTCAACCTGTTGAAGCGCGCCTGAGATCTTTTTAATTTTTTTCGTCTTCTAAATGTGATGTACTTTTTCTGACGAATTTAACTGAACAAGACTGTCCGTATCAGTGCGATGTCCTGAATATTCCGGCGGGATTTTTGAACATTTTTTCCATTTCCCTAATAGTATCTGCTAAAGAATACACATCATTATAAATAACCAGAGTAAATAAGCGCTCCCACAATGAAATTTCATGGATAATAATCTATTATATTCAATTTTCATTGTAAGTCTCTAAAAATAACAAAAACAATCTATTCTAATCGATTAAAAATGGATAAATTGATGATATTTTTCTGAGCAATAAAATCCCCATATAATCGATTATAAAAGATTATAATCGATTATTTTCAAAAAAATTATGTAAAGAAAAATACGCCAATTTAATTGATTATAATGGATTATAATCTATTCATTCAAATCTTTTTTTTGTGCTGTTTTCATTTTTTCATAATTTTGTTTAATTTAAGTTATGTATTTTGTTCTCTCGCTTAATTTCATCTTTTCCTATTTTCAATCGAGTTGATGAAAAATTGCAAGAACTTTCCTATAGATCCCACACCAACTCCCCCTTCCCCCACGCTTACCCTTATTACAGTTACCTGTCCTCGTGAGGGAGTACGTCGTGGAGGGGGGGGGGGGTGTACGTCGTGGTTGGGGGGTACGAGGGGGGATGGGGGTACGTGAGGGGGGTGCGTCGTTGGGTGGGGTTACGTTGGGGGGGGGGGGTTACGTTGGGGGAGGGGGGGTGGTTACATTGGGGGGGTTACGTTGGCGGGGGGGATTGGGGTACGTGAGGAACTGGTCAAAAATGCTGTTTTTGGGCACTTTTTGGAACATTAATAAATTTTGAAAACTTAGTACGTATTGGCC